AGTAACCATTTTCCAGCTGAATTTATGAGTTTATGTCAACTCTGACGTGACACCTGGTTTAAAATAAACAAGATGGCAATAGCCAAAACGCAGAAGGCTTGCTGACTCAAGCCTTCAAGCAAACTAATGGGTGACAGTACGGTCAACTTTACAATATAAGCTCCTCCTTGCCTCCTTTTGCTCTCAAAGCTCTTACAAAAAAAAAGAAAGAAGAGACAGTTGTTTGAAACACAGTCAACTTATGAATCAACAGCTGAGAAGCCGATTATGCTGAATCAATCCTTTAAGAACACTTCATGGACAGGGAGATGGGTTTTTTTCCACGGTGACTACGGGACATAATCCATTCTAAGTGTTGTAAATCCAAGCTGACAACAGCTGCTGTCCTCTAAGAAGAAGCAAGCTAGAAATCTCTCAGAGCCACTTAAAAACAAAAGCTTTTACAAAGATCAATCGTCCTTGGAGTATTCATTTAAAATCGGTCTGATTGGATAATGTGAAGAATCCAATTCTGTAGTCCAAACACTGTTAAGAGCTTACAAATATGATCACAGCCTTTGGAAACGGTTTCATGGATGTAGATCTTGGAAAGGGAACAGACTACTGTGTGTATAACATCCCAATGTTCCAGTACAACATTTCCGTGGATCCTGTTGGGACAAGATGAAAGGCTTTGTGCCCTAATATCACTGTAACTGCAGGTGTGGAGGCTCCCATTTCACGAGTGTCACTGATGTTTAGGGGGGCCATGGGGAGGGGGAACGACGAGACATCTGCACGTTTGGATAACCATCTGAGGGTTCAATCAAATTCAACACCTAGCAGGTAAATGTTTGGATACTTGTGTGTGTGTGTGTGTGTGTGTGTGTGTGTGTGTGTGTGTGTGTGTATGATGTTACCTGTCTGGCTTGTCATCAAAGTAGACACCACAAACACTTGGCTTTATCAAATATCTGTGTGATCACTATCCCGGGCAGTATATAGAGGACTTCAGTTTGTAGTTTCGGCTTATTTTTGTTAAGATTCTTTTTTATATCTAAATTTAAACAGACAGGGAGGCCTTGTTCAAACAAAAGTCAGAGGATGTGAAGTTGATGAGCTGGTCTCATTTGCCCTGTCTTTTTAAAATAATATAAAGTGCTAAAAAAAATGCAGCCATGCAAATCAGAGCTATAAGGAAAAAAAATCTAATTTTACAACCTGTCAGGCTTTTATTAACAGTGCAGAACTTCTGCCAAAAATGCATTTCCTTTCCAACACATGGTTCATTCAGGAAGACAGAAATTGTGTCTCATAGCCACAGGGAGAATCTAAACGATATAGTGACCTATGATGCATAAATTAAAAAACAAAACAAAACATGACTCATATACAGTTGCGGTTCAAAAACAGTAAGTCTATATCAACATAATAATTTTTCAGTTGATATCAGACAGAAAGTCAAGTTACTGCTTGCTTCATTTGTATTTTTTTATACAGATGAGGACAAAATTATTAGCCCCCCCATGAAGATTTCTTTTTCAGAAAAACCAAGAATTAGCAGGGTTAAAATTATTACCCCCCTGATGCTTATACTCAAGTGTGAATCCTTTTTGTTGAATAACAGCCTGCAGTCATTTATTGCAGTTTTCGACAAGTCTCTCTAACACGCCTCCTGAGCAAATCCATTCTTCTTTGGCAAATCTCTCAAGCTCCTCAACATTTGATGATCTTCTGGCATGGACCTTGGTCTTCAGTTCACCCCACAAATTTGCAATGGGATTTAAATCAGGGCTTTGTGCAAGCCGGTCAGTAACTTTAACTTTGGTCTTCTGGAGGGAGTGACATTCTCACTGTTGTGTTGGAGGATAAAGAAATGACTCAGAGCCAGTTTTGCTACTGACTGCTTGAGTTTTTCTTTCAGAATCCTTCTTTCTTCACGAGTCCTTCCACCCTGACAGAATTCAAGGTGTCCCAGGCACACTTGAGCATCTCTACAGCGTTTCACTGTGAGGATGGTGTCCTTTGGGTTGTACATCTCTTCCTTCTTTCTCCAAATGTAAACATTGTCTCTGGGGTCAAAGAGCTCTAGTTTCACCTCATCTGACCAAAGGACAGACTTCCAGTATATATAATCTGTCTTCAGGTTGTCCTTAGCATACTTCAGTCTGGCTTGAAGGCATCTCTTTTGCAGAAGTGGAGTTGTTTTTTTTGTTTACTGTGCAGGGTGCCAATGATTGTCTCCTTTGAGACTACAATTTACAACTTGGCTAAGTAATTTAGTGTCTTGGCAGATGTTCTTGGGTCTTTAGACACAGCTCTCACTTTTTTTCCCCAGTCGTTCAAATCTTTGCTTCCTACCTCTGCCAGACTGGTGCTGCACTGTGTGGCTCTCTTTGAATTTCTGATTATACTTCTCGCTTCAGTTCTTGACACTTGAAAACACTGTGATAAGTTTGTATATGCATTTTCTGCTGATTTCGTTTGTGTTTAACATGATGCTTTCTCAAGTGACATCTCAAACTCTTGTTGAAGTTTTGATACTACGTAAATTGGAAAAAAAATCCCTTAGTCTTAACTTGATTTTATAGATTAGAGCACTGCAAAATTAAAGCATATCATTGCATGCCAGTGGTTTGTGCTATGGCTAAAAATAGCTAACGATCCCTTATAACATTGGCCCTGGTATTTTTTTGTCTGAAATCAATCAGAAATAACAGAAATAATTGATGCTTTCTAAAGAAAGTATGTTTCAAAGTGCTATGTTAAAAATCTCTTGCTCTGTTAAAGAAGGACAAACATTTATTATTAATAGTGAGGGGCAAATACTTGTGTCCTCATGTGTAATTGTACCTGCACACCATCTCCATCATTTGAGAAAAACAAACTGGTACTTTCCTTCTGAACACTACTGCATGAATACACAGTGTGATTAAATGCAAGTAGCTTTATACTGATGAACACCCAGTCAGACTGGTGAGGTTCGAAATACTGACAACCATCATCTGCCACAAACAAAATTGCTGAGAGCTACAGTACTTTGTTTTGTTTTTAGAGTTTTGCTCAGTAACAGTCTAAAAGCTCCACCTGTTGTTGGTGTTAAGCAGAACTTACTGGTGCATGTGTAGATGTCTGCTGCCATGGATGCTGTGCCTTGGTGGTTTAGCCAAAATATATGTTGAACAAGGGTAGAATGGATCCAGCCAGAGACACCATGGATGGACAAAGCCACTTTGACATCACCTAAATTAATGTTTGGTTTAAAGCCTTAATAAAAACATGACCTTTATTCGGTTACTTATGGTTCGTATTAAATGGTAAATGGCCTGTATTTGTATAGCGCTTTACACATTCAGTCATCCACCCATTCACACACTGGTAATGGCAAGCTACATTGTAGCCACAGCCACCCTGGGGCGCACTGACAGAGGCGAGGCTGCCGGACACTGGCGCCACTGACCACCACCAGTAGGCAACAGGTGAAGTGTCTTGCCCAAGGACACAACGACCAAGACTGTTGGAGCCGGGGCTCGAACAGGCAACCTTCCGATTACAAGGCGAACTGCCAACTCTTGAGCCACGATCGCCCCAAAATTAAAAAACTAAAGGTTTGGTGCCAACATAAGGTTTTAAAAAGCTCTTTCCTTGTGGAAGTTTTAATTCTACTACCGTATCTGTCAAGATATGTGTAAAAACAACAGTAAGCTAACCCAACAGATGGAGCTTATGGCTAAGAAAAAAGAAAAAAAAAAAACACTATATATAATAAATAATCCCTGTTCATACACTGGAGTACACCCTGACTTTGCTAACGCAGCCAAACATCAAACAAGACACAGCGGTGGGTATTTGACTGTAATATATTTCTCTACTACTGAACAGTTGTTAATCACAGCGCAGTTCTTGCACCAACCTACATGTGCAGACCCGCCATCATCTGTTTTTCCCAGACTTCAAGTCTTGGCCCACTTGAAAAAGACGAATCAAGCTAAAATGCTGAGTCCGGCAAGTTGTTATTGAGCCAAGCTTTGGTCATTAGAAAGCTAAATAGCTCCTTGTTTCCTTTTGTGTGTTTAATCTTAGCTGGAGCGGGTATAATTTATTATACAGTGAACAAAATTTGGCTGGAACAAACACAGGACTAGCTAACCTGGTTGCGCTAATCTTAAACTTCTATAGAAGCCCGATCAGTTTACCCCTCTAAAGCTTTCTTGCACGCCGCTTCCTCTTGTTCCACCAGTCGTCTGCTGCTGGGCACCGTGTCTTCGGTAGCTGATCTGCTGAGCTCCGCTCTCAGTGTTCTTGGCAACACAGTTCTCTCGGAGGTTTGTACCCACTCACCCACGTTACATACTGCCAGAGCAGGCGTTGAAAGAGAAGCCGCTCGCCCTATTACAAGTCAGTGTACCATCAAAATGATTTTGAAGTTGTTATTTTAAAAAGAAAATAGTTACATATTATTGCTTTAACAAGGGATCAAAGTCCACCAGATGGAGCTTAGGTTTTCCTTCTCATTATGCACCCCTGCAAATCTGAAACGATGTGAAACACCCCAACAGTAAAGACAAATAAATTTGCTTGACGTGAGCTGTGACACTGTTTACACAGAAAAGTTGGTACTTTGACAAAAATATGGCTCGGGATATAAGATCTGGTTAGGAATGGAAACAGCTCAAGCACAGAAACTGATTCACGGGGAGCCCCCTGGCTTCAACCGCAACTACAGAAAAAGACCCAAGGAAGAGACTGAGGATCACTCAACTGAAATATTATTCTTTCACACTAAATGAGAAGTGAATATAATGAACTACAGAACAGTAACTTTTTTTCCCCTTTCCACTGTGACTGATTTTAAAATCCTCTGACCACATTCGGACTGTAAACAGCCTCATTTAATTTTCCAAATATAACCCAACCTCTTCTAGCATTTAACTGGTGCTTTGTGTGAATCTGTCTCTCCTGGTCAGTCGTAAGGACAACACCTCAGACAGCACAGTGGGGTCAGTGAGAAGTTAACTCACACTGGCCGGCTCCTGTCGTAGAAAGCGTTGCTCTTTGCAGCCTCTGCAGCCTGCACAGCTGCTTTCCTCTCCTCAAATTCCTCCCTGCTCAGGACCGTGCCCCTGTGGCCGTGTTCCACCAGCTTATGGGCCAACTCCTTCTGCTTGAGATGAGAACAGAAGAAGAATCAGTGAAGAAGAGGGAGCATGCTTTACAGTCAAGGCTGGATATTGTCAGACGTTTGCAGTGCCGAATTTACAAATTGTGGCCTCTCAACTCACTAATCACCACAAGAGTACTGACAGATAAAATTTTCTCAGCTGGTTTTTAGGATTTACTTGTCACGCTTGTCTTTCGATTAAAAGGTGTCATTTCACTGCCCTGCCTAAAAGCATGGAAGCGATGACCTGCTCTCCGACACCACCACATTTTTAGTTTTATGGGTTCAGGATGATTTCATTCCTATTTCCAGATCTATTTCTGTTGTAAGTGTGAGCATTAATGTATGTCAGCAGGGATTTTTAGCTACATTATTCCGATCGTCACTTGCAAACCTGCTGTCATTAAAGCAAAGCCATAAAGTCATCATCTAAAAACCAAATCTCGCCGTCAAACCCAGTGGCTTGTTAGATCAAAGCTTCTGCCACATGTCCTCATACCCAAAATCCCAGCAGCCGGGCCTGTGTCCGCACCCAAGAGGAAAAGTTATATTTTCCTTCAGCTTTGATGTGGCTGACCAGAAATGAGTCTCAGACCTTTGCTGGTCCTAAAATTGGCCTGAAAATCCACTCAAACAGATGATTTGAGCGCACACACCAGGATCTACACTAATCAGCTAAGGTGGAAATCACTTTGTAATACACGGCACTTCGGAGACAAGACCGGAATAACGTGATCTGTGATAAATGGGTTCATAATTAGTGGATTTATCCAGATTTGGCCCTTTTCAACACAACCACACATGCCAGATGACCTGGGCTGAGTGTGCTGTGTCACAACACGGGGAAGAATCTGAATGATTGACTGCAGCTGATTATCAGGTCTGATAGGCGTTGTTCTCTCAATGTGGACACAGGTGTTCAAACAATTCCGCAGCAGACACATAACTCATTAGCATGGGCGCCATCTGCTGGACAGAAGCAGGACTGCTGATTTCTAAAGGGCAGGTTCATTTTCAACTTATTTAGCAGAATATGTGGCTCGAAAAACTTAAGAGACCAACATGAAAGAAAGAACAAATGCGATTTAGGGCTTTTTAAAGGCATATGTTTGATAATATACAGCCTGAAAGCTACTTCTCCTGAGTCTTTCGTCCATCCCTGAAAAACATATGAAAATAACTAACCCTAACCTTAGCGGAAGATAATGGATGGATGGATTAGAATTTCATAAACAATAGTGCTACTTGTGCAAAGAATCTGTGGTCTATAGCGAGCACAACACAACAATAACAACAACAACAACAACAACAACAACAACAACAACAACAAAATGTAATACAACCCGTTGTACTGTCTGTGTGGCTTTGAAACGGTACGACTGCCATGTGATACGAGTAATTGTTTCTCTACTTTATCGCATGAAACAAGCAGACTGGAGTGATGATAGCTGCTTGTTAAATTCAGAGTTTAAACCACAGACTTAATATAAAGAGTTACTGGTTTTATTCTAAACCTTGGTAAGACTACCACCTAGCGTTGAACTACTGAAATTACACCAACAAGTCAAATCTGCTTTTAACGAAACAAGCGAACTAAGTCCAATGCAGAAAAAAAAATAACAGGGAGCAGTAACAAACAGATATTAACTTAAAACGATATTTACTGTCGATGAAAATAACACTTGAGGTATAGTATATGCCACAAGCCAGACAAGTGTTTGTCAACTATGTTTGGTTGATCACAGGTAAACACCTTGTAAAACACCCATGAAGTTATTTTCATATTTTAAGAGTATATTTTTAATGTCGGGATAGTACGTAGCTAAAAATGGCCAATATTTGTATAAAGCGTGTAAAATTTATTTTCTTGCTTTGCACACCGGAGCGACATTAGATGAGCAACATACCAAGAGGCCAACGTACCAGAAGCAGGTGATGTGCTAGCAAGCTAATGAAGGCAGCTCAGACGGTTTTATACGTGGCGAATTGAAGGAGTCCTGGTAATTTTGGAGAGACTATGGTTATTTTTTAAATAAAATTCACTGCTGTAGATTGATGAAGAAATTGTAGTTCAGTCAGTGCGGCTCTGAGGCGCAATGCCACAAAATAGCGGGGTGTAAGGAGTGATAGGTAGGATAAAAGTGCTTATAAAAGTTGTACTTTTCACTCACTTTGAAGTAAAACAGATCCAGTGGCGTGACTTTTGAGTCCAGGTAATCCTCGTAACATTTAAACTGTGTTAGAGAAAAGTGAAAACGGCTGAATTTGCTGTACTCCATCTTCTGTGTGCGTGTGCGCTCGTGAGTATTGGAAAACGCTGCTATGGCAACCGCCTTACCGGCTTCTCATCAGACAGGAAGCGGAAGTTGACGACATCACGTTTAACCTTTATGTAAACCGGAATTCTTTGAGATCATTTTTATAACAAGAAAACCGTGCAAGAAAAATACAATTCCTTCAGAAAAAATAGCAAAACACACAAGTAATGATTTTAACTGTGAACAGGCGGAGAAGCAGCTGCCCTGTAACGACGCACAGAATTCACCTGTGAGGTAACGAAGGCGGGTTCCAGTCATTTATATTTTTTATTTTAGTGGTAGAAATAAAGAGCATTGTGTTACACAGTTTGATTTAAATACACATAAAATATTTATAGAAATAAAATATTATTATATATAACTATAAAATATGTGTATATTTTCTAATTGTTATAACTGTTAAATTATATATTATATATATTATAATATAAAATAAAATAATTAATAAAATAAAAGACAAAAAATTACAATTAAAAAATGGTCCACATAGGATGCAAACCAGCATCTCCTGATTTATTGGATCATAGGATATTCCATAGATAAAAAGGAATAAAAAATATAGGCTTACCTGTCACCTAAGGGCCTGGAAACCAGATTTTAAAGTGCACACTGGACAGCTAATTGGATATAATATGATAGAGTAGGCAGATAATGCAGAGGAAGCAGCTTTTGTCCAAACTATCATCTTATAGTGTGGAACATTTTTGAACCTAGACTTCCTAAACCTCCTAGATGCCCACAATACACTCTAAGAGAGCACATTATCCACCCAGATACCCAATTAATTTTTGGATGTACTTTCAATTGAGACCATACAGTGAAGCTTGCAGCTCTTGAAAAACAGTCTGAAGCTCATCAACAGTCTGTCTTCAGGAAAAAGTAACTGCGTAGACTGTTGTGTCATTTGCGAAACAAAGCAACAACAATAGAGGACCATCCATTGTTTTCTTATGTAGTTAGTTTCAAAAGGGGTCTCAAGCCTATCCTGGCTGAGTTGGACAAAAGGTGCAAAGATACACTCTGGACAGTCGCCAGCTCACTTTTTCAAAAACAGAAAAAAAAAGAAAGAAAGTTTGTCTGGGTATTTATTTCCCCTGTGAGAAGCTTTTGTTGTAATAGCGTACGTGTTAAAGAGATTTGGATGTATGTATATAAGCATGGACTGTACAGTTTTACTGCAGAAGCTGTTACTCTCGGTCAACAGCAGCTGAGGAACCGAAGAGAACCCCGAAACCCTGAGCAGGTAGCAATGTAAACTGAGCTCCTAAAATGTTTGTTGCAGAATTTTTTTGTTGTTGTGTCACAGATCTTTTCTGCTCCTTGTGAAAAAATATAGCCTACCAGTTTGGGAAGAGTCTCATTCTTCTTCTCGGGTCTTGGGTGAAAATCTAACGCCCACTGCAGAAAAAAAAGTGTTGGAAGTGTGAACTGTATAGCTTCGTTTAACTGTGGCTGTGGCGAAGCTTTAAGATGTTGCTTTTGTAACTACATTCTACTGTAGCCTTATTTCAGACTGTGTCTTACTGTCTTTTTTCAAAAAATTCTTTTTACGAATGTTGAGTTTTCAGTGGCTTTATTTCAGCCTAGACACAAAGAAATGAGATGGGTCTATGATACATCCTGCCTAAGATGAAATGCATAGCTTTGTTTTTGATCATATTGTGACCTGTGACCTGCGATAATATCCTATCTATATCTACATCCCATCAGAGAAGCTCCTGCAGGTCCTCAGTAACACCGTATTTCTATTTTAAACTTATGTGAGCTCAGTTGACGCATAAAAGTAGAATAGTGTCTCACACGACAAATTATCCTGTCTCGTGATGTCAGTCCCTAAATCCTGGCAAATCTACACAATTTGGCACCTTTTCTGACTATAAAATAGAGACGAAAACCTTCAGTGGGTATTTTCTCAGCTTCATGTGCAGAAAAACTGTGACTCTTGGCTGTTATTATCATTTTTATTATCATTTTGTTTAGTTTTGCCATCCAGCGTGAATTTTAATAGCTCTGCAGTGACGTCCATGGAAAGTGAAGTAACGATCAAAAATTTTCTTATGAATGGTCTCTCCTACAGCAGCCCTGTAACATATGACCTATATGCACGTATGCACACAGACAAATAAGACAAAAGGCAGCAGAGGCACAGTGGGTTAGTGAGTAAAGGAGGAGAGCTTTAACAACCTTCAAGATTAGCTTTGTCACGCAAGCTGCTTCTCATTTCTGAGGTCATAGAGTGTTTTCTTACTTAGAAATAAACCCTATTTAATTATTAACACTATTTTAAATAATAAATGTGAAACTTCTGCTGTTCTTATTCTGTGATGTACAGTTATTTTTTCTACACTTTGGTGAGCTTGATAAAATACACTCACCAAGTACTTTATTTTTAGAAGCATCAAATACTTAGTAGAACCTTTTTTTTGCTCATAAACAAGTTTCAGTTCCTGATGTCTTGGATTCATCAAAGTGTTGGCAGGAAGACATGATCAGCAATATTAAAGAGCAGGCCATAGCTGTGGCATTTAAACCATAATTTGAATCATGGCAACCAAAGTGTACAGAATCAACCTTTTGGGGCCTCGATAAATAATTTCCATCTTCATAACAACTGTATTTGGGATTCTTTTTATAACTCACCCATGTTGATACTCCAAGTTCTACATAAATCCTGCCTTGAACTTGGAGAAGGCATTTGCCTGCATCTGGGGGCTGCAGCTCATGTGTATTGGGTATTGGGCAGTTGGGCTGCTTGGTGACTGTGTGTAGTCGTAGTGAGAGATTAGTTTGCATTTCCAGTAATAAGTCAAACTGATTGTCACTGATTTTGTTTAACCTTTTTCTGGATAGAGGTGGTGGAAGGTGTTGGGTTTGGTGGTCTCAGAATCTCATCTCGCTACATGCAGATGAGATCATTCTGCTGGTTTTATTAAATGACTGCCTCTAACTTGTACTGGGGCAGTTTGCAGCGAAGTCTGAACCAGCTGGGATGAGAAATAACAGCTCCAAGTCTGAGGCCATGGTTCTCAGGTGGAAAAGAGTGGAGTGCCCACTCCAAAGGTTGGGAGTGAGTTACAGCTCCAAATGCAGAGCATGGATGGATGGATGGTTTTTAAGGGCAGCAGCTCACAAATAATATAGCTTGCTTTGTACAGATTGCCCAAAATGTATCTTAGTTTGATGTGAATCTTAATTTTGAAATATAAATCTGTGTTTTGTTACTTTACCCACAAAGCTGTAACTGTAGATGCTGGACAGAGCACAACAGGCATTTTTCAGATTTTGATTAAAGATTTGAAATAAAATTGATAATAACCACGTTATACAGCATGGACAGCATCATGATCTTTAGACTTTAGCACTGTGCCTGACCTTTGGCCTCATACCTCTTCACAGAAGACAGCAAGATTTGAGAAAAATTCTCTTTTAGTGATAGAGTGGCACAAAATGTGAATGAGGTCAAATGTTGGGTCATTAGAGTGGGAGGAGGGATCCCACTGGTGTTCATATCTGAAAGGACAGGAAGATTGTTGGTAAGTAATCAGCGCTCAGGCCTGTTTTAGACTAAAGTAAAATCTGTCATGACCTCAGAGGATTTGGAGAACGTCAGCCAGCACAGACCTGTCAGCGCACACACACACCTGTCTTTCATTAGTCAGCCACAGACTTTTGCTGTGACAGATTGGTGACCTCATTAGGACTTAAGTGAAATATACTACACTCCCATATTTTACCGCAGATATCTAACTTTAACACACAAATTAGATAGAGCCTTCTCTCTGAACCTTCAAATCAGCATGTTTAACCACTTTCTGCATTTTCCCACTTAATGCAATTAAAAAACACATACATGTTGATATATATTTTTAATGGTATTATTACATAAAGATTTTTGTCGTACATACATTTTTATGAAAAAAACAATCTGGTAGAAAAAATATTGCTCTGGGATGCGATCACACAACGCAGTGGCAACACAGAACATTGTAACAAGACACACAGCATCAAGAAACTACAGATTGCCATCTGCATAAATACAGTGTGGAAAATGCTTCATTCATGTGCTACATGCTTTTCATGAGAAATATCAGTTGTACAGCTGAAAATCAACAGAAACACTGGCTAACACTGGGCTACAATGGCTTTATTCCACTGTAATAACCGGTGTAATAACTTTAACATATGAAGCTACATATTTTTACTTCTCCTCTATGATCGTGTTCATATTCTGTTGCCATGTTCACCAACAATGTGTGTTCAATTGTAATTGGTAAAACCGAGGATGGATGTGGTTCAGGACGCAAAATGATAATTTGGTAATGCTTACGATTACAACAATATAATACAGCACATTTAAATTATTATACAGCTCTGATGGATGTAAGTGTGAGTTTGACACTGACCTGATCATGTTTTGAAGATACAGCCAAGAGACTCACAGCAGTGCCTAAAATAATATATAGAATTCTGTTTATGGACACAAATTTCATCCTGTTTTCTCACCTACTTAAATACAGTTTGTTTATTTATCAACCTTCACTCATATCTGGGTAAATGTAGTTTTTTTTAGGTGTAACGGCCAAAAAAGTCTGTTTGGTGGCAGGAGTGCTGAATGTGATTTCTTTAGTTTGGTGTATGAAATAAAACTACTTCATTGTTTGGGTTATAATAAAACTGCTGCCGCTGTCCGAGGTGTCTCACACATTAAAAAAACATTATTCCTACAATTGAAATACGTTAGTTTGAAGTTTTGTAAACCAAAAACCTCCATGTACGCAAACAAATAGAAATATTTCTTTTTTCTGTGAGACAGGGTGGCTTCATAACGTAAGATGAGACAATCTTATGTGTCCCTACAAAAAGTGCAAACTAAATATAGAGCGTTCTGATACGCGTTTAAAACGTTTGCACTCACTGCTGTGTGCTCAAATAGTTTCGTCATAGATTAATATGCATTTTTTTGCCAGTGGAGTAAATTCATGACACTGATTTCAAACAAGTGTTTTATAAAATGTGCAGCAGTCTCCAATAAGTCAAACAGTTACATTAAAGACAATATTTGATTTTTAAACCAAACTCTGAGACATTCTGCGTTCCTCGCCACCAAGCTTTTCTTTTTTCCCCTGAGATGTCCCGGTGCTCCTATGAGGTCATTGCCATCTGATACACCTACAGCTTGAACCTTCCTCTACACAAGCGGCGGCTCTTTCTTGGCATCTTTATCCCTGTGGTGACGGCGGTGTGCACTCCTCCTGGGTGGAATGCTGGGAGGTCGTGACTCTGGATTTTTTGGGGGAACAGCCGGTTGCTAAAATGATAGTTTTGATGGACAGTTTTCTCCATGATCCCTCACAGCTGTCCAAGAAAAAGGAGGAGCCTCCAGAGAGCCAGTCCACGTTTTCTTGCTCATTATCACAAATCTGGTGTTCCTAAAAAGTTGGCCGGTGTGTATGTTCAGGCTGAATCACTGAGAGACATTGTTATATCTCAAAAAGTGGCTTGAAAATACAGATTACCTCAAAAAGTGATCACAGCATGTGTGATTTAACCAACAAGAAAATATTCATGACCTCATTAGTTTTTAGTGTTTAAAGCTGAAATCCATTATCTGCTTTAGATGTGTCACCTCCCTGCTAATTTTAGACATAATATAAAACGTTACATTTTCAGATCTGACTTTGAGATACGGTTTTTTTGGCCTAATGAAATTGGACACAACACGATTTCATAAAATAATTGCAAATTTTAAATGATTTTCCTCTGAAATGACATGTTTTATTAGAAGAATAAAAGGCCCCCATACAAAGAATGTATGACTGAAAAGTCACAATGGTGTTTCGCCAGCTTCATTTGATCATCATTTTATTTATCATTTAACAAAACAAAACAAAATAACTATGTAGTCCTCACTCGAGTCATAATCAGTCATAGCATGTTGTCAAGCTGCGATACTGGCAGATCAGTTCGCAGCCTCAGCTTTTCCTTTCACGTCACATCTGACTCAGTGAATCTCAGATCAGTTGTCATTGCTGTTCTGTGTGGAGGGTTCTTGGTACTGTCCTCCCTTACTTCTAGCTTTCCATATATGAACATAGAAAGATGAGGAGGCAGGCAACATTGCCTTATGCTTTCCACCTGGACACATGGATGGGTGGGGTAGTCTAGAACAGAAGCACGTGACCAAAAATACATTACTGCAGACAGAAATAATCTCCTATCCACCAGTGGTCCTGAACGAAATCACTTTTGTTTAGCCAGGGGGGTTAGTGTCATTATTGCAAGATTAAGAGCATCATTCTTATTCTTGCAAGACAGCAGAACGAACTGGAAGTCTCTCTGTCAAATACTTCTCATCAAGAATATTTCTAATGTTATGGATTTCAGCTTCATCGGTATGTGACAGAGCATCGTTAACTCAAACACAGCATCCAGCTATTGTCATAGCTTCAAAAAAGAAAAGCTCAGCAGTTATACCTGTCAGCCCTTTGAGGTTTTTCACACAGTTCATAGATACCTGGAATGCTTTGAATGTGATAAATAACTATTGTCAGTTTATGGGGTACGTCCATTTGTCCAATTTCTATAAACCTATCCAAACCTGTACTTGGGCCAGTACTTGACTTGCGTATGCCTCGGTGTGGTTCCTGCTTGGATGTTTGCCTTTGCCGCGGGTGGCTTTGGAGGTGGTGGGAGTGGGGTTTTCCTCCTCTCTTTGCTCCTGTCTGTGATGGTGAAGCCTTGCTCGCCCTTATCGTGCAGGCTGACCCTGGGCAAGAAGTGGGTAGAGACATGTTGGGATTTGACCCGGGGGCTGGAGCCCATTTTAGCTTTCCCCCTCTTATTAAGGGCCACAAACCACTCGCGACCTGTCCTGTGGTTCCTGTGGATTACTGAGGCATAAGTGTTGTAGCTGTTCTCCTGGAAACGTTCCCTGAACTTACAGTCATCCGTGAACCGTTCCTACAAAAGAAAGGAAATGCAGGGTGTTAACAAGTATTATTCCGTGTCATTTTCTTGTATTTCTTTCTTGTTTTCTGAATAATTGAACCTTGCTGTATTTGCAAACAGTCCCAAGTCATTTTCACACACGTGATTCTTGATCTGTGCATATCCAAACATGTAATGTAACCTAAACTTGTTTACCTTGTGAGCGGACACAGAAAAAGTCATTACTAAATCTTTTAGCATTATTATTTTATTTCATTTTTTGCAAGAAGCTCTCACTTTCACATCAACACATATACACAACTACTGTGAAAAGCTTCTGTGCTTTCTGTGACAAATTTCCTTTGCTGTGAGATTTTTGTCCTTTTCCTGCAAAACCGGAAATGCACACGTGAGGATTTACTGTTCACCTACCAAACTCTACCTTCAGGTCCACTTACAGAAACCTGAACTGAACCTGGACCTGCACACACTATAAAAATAGCATGAATTTACATTTCTAATGAGACAGCTGGGTCATGCTTGTGCTGCAATAATTGCAACAGATGTGCAGAAGCATCAGATACTCCTTGGTGATGGGTTTAATAAGTCATCTACATCAGCGGTCCCCAACCCCCAGGCCTCGGACCGGTACCGGTCCGTGAGTCGTTTGGTACCAGGCCGCGAGAGTTGAGGCTCAGGTGTGAAATGTATGGTTTTCAGGGTTTTTATTGGTTTTCAGCGTTATTTTGTTATCGTTTTTATCCTTAACTCGGTTTTCCTGAGTATTTTTCACGTGTGTTATGAATAAATCTTCTTCTTTTTTGGTACCGGTACTAGTTTTATTTTGTTGTATTTATCCGCAACACCTTAAAGGCCGGTCCGTGAAAATATTGTCGGGCATAAACCGGTCCGTGGCGCAAAAAAGGTTGGGGACCGCTGATCTACATGATTTCATTATCACAGTCACACCTTCACTGACAGCAGCAAAGCCACAAAACTCAAAAGGCATCTGCTATTGAACTCATTCAGGAAGAACTTCAGAACAAAGACATGGGGCGGTGTTTTTATGATCATTCTTCTTCTTACAATTTAATCAGCAGAGTTATTGTATTTTTCTAAACTGTGTTGGATAAGATGGATTTTTCCTCATGTTGAAACAAAAGTTTTCATCCCACCCAGGTTCTCAAACAGAGGATGAGGAATGGGTCAGGTTTAAATCAGACTACTCGTGTATGAATAGTGCAGATAATATCAGCAAGTCTGCAAAGTAAAATCCTTAATGAATTATTACTAATAATCTAAATGATCCAAATATTATTCCCAAACACTGCTTAACATGCCTGCGATAGTTTGGTTATCCAAGAAGAACCATAAAGCTTAAAGTTTTCCAGATGGACCTGACGCACATAGTTGGACTGCATCAAAATTGTATTATTTGGGTTGCAGGTTTGATCAGACTTTGTCTACCAAAGTATTAGAAAGAGATGTAAAAATGTAACACTGGCATGCAGCACTGCATTCTGCACACGTGTCATGCACAGAGATGCAGATATTCATTGAATGTTCCCGTTTTGTGCCTAAATATATCTCGGGTGGGAAACTTTGACATGTACCCAGGGATGCCGGCTTTCTTGCTGCAGCATGACTTCCTTGTATAACCTCCTGCCATTCTGAAATAAAACAAACTGTTCTGCTTTGCTGAAGAGTGCAGCATAGCAGAAAATGATGCCATTACAGCGTTCGGTAAACATGCCAGTCACAGGAGAGTGCACTGCGGCCGCAGCAGAACAGCGCAAACCTTTAAGTTATTCAAAGTGACCGACTGTTTCTTTTAGTTGTTGTTTTTAAAGGACGATTTTAAGAAAAAAGTATAGAACTCCAGAGTCACAGCTGTGGGTGGACTGAAATGAAATGCTACATTTGAGCAACTTACCGTCTCTGGAACCAGTCGGGGAATTAGACGTTGGAAACAAATCCACTGGAGCGTGTATGAATGTACTCTCTCACACACACATGCAGGCACGTATACACACATAAGCATGCATACCAAGAAGAAGATTTGGCCCATGCTGCGTTTCATAGGATTTAATAGCTGCAGCCAGATTCCAGAGATCTCATTGTAAAAATCATAATGCTTGTACAGCTGTTTAACCTGGCTCTTACCCTGCAGGATAGGTTACAGTCTTTTAAAGGGTCCGTTCCCATGATCCTTGATATATATATATATATATATGTATTCAGTTTCAGTTCAGTTTATTTAAATAAAAACCGAAACCTAAGTGTCAAAATGAGCTTTGGTGACTGTGGAGGCTGTTTGACTGCAACTGATTTCTTAACATTGTCATGGTCAAGAAACTAGTTTGTGTTGAATTGAACTTTGTGGCATGGCGAATGATCCTGATGGAAACAGGCGTCAGAAGATGAGTACACTGCTGTCATAAAGGATGGACGTGCTCAGGAACAATATTAATGTAGGCTGCGGCCTTTGAACATATTCATTTGATACCAAGTGTCCCAAGAAAAAAATCCACCATACCATTACATCACCACAAGCAGCCTGAACTGTTGATATAAGGCAGGACGGATCCATGCCGTCATGTTGCATTCCAAATGTCACAGCAGAAACTGAGACTCATCAGACCAAGCAGCGTGGTCTTCTGGTGCTGTAGCCCGTCTCGCTCAGAGTTCAGTGTGCTGTGCATTCACAGATGTTCTTTGGTAGGCTTTCTTTTTTAACAAGTGGTTATCTGAGCTGCTGTTACCTTCCTATCACTTGGAAGTCTTTCTATTCTCCTCTGATCTCTGGCATGAATTATTTTCTCTTTTTTACATAATTAACTTTGGGCTGTAGACATGTTTGTGTGGGATACTCTTAGTATTTCAGCACTTACAGAAATACTCAACCAACAACATGAAGTTGTAACTTAACTCACCTTTCTTCTATGAACCTGGTATATAACTTGACTGTACATCATACAGTTCCATTTATACAATCATTTGCATAAAAGGAGACCAGTTGTTACAAAGTAATACATTAGATTACTTTTTATTGTAACAAAGGATATAATGCATGAGTGTTTTAATTTAAACGATCAGTTATTTAGTTACTTAATAGCTTCTCTGTTCCGTTTGTTAGGAAACAAGAAAAAAAAGACAAATCCTGACATATTTGTAATGCTTCTGTTTCCCTCTGACTCACACACACGATCCTGCTGTTGTGTTAGTCAGGTTATCTGATCTGATGGCAGAGATGTCATCAAAGGCCTGAACACCTGGCATTATTTTGTGCCTCAGTGATGATAAGTGCCTGCTGAAGGACTCTACTTCACATTTTGAAGTGCAGGCTGAGCACAGCTCCTGGTGGTGAGGCCTTTCTTTAATTAATTATTTCATTTGTGACAAATTAAAGTGATTAGTGGTATTTTCTGCCACTACACAGGCTTGCTTTTAGCTATGTATGTGTGTATCACTCTCTCTTTTATCTATAACCCCTCCCTCACTGTTTGTTTAACAAATGCTGGCGACCCTTTCACCTTTCAGAAGATTATGTTTGCGATAGCCTGCTGAGTAGGTCACGCAGAGCAATGTGCATCTGTCTCCTCGCCCATTATTCAGCGAATAAACTGCCACTGTGAAAACATCTAAACAGTAAATATGACAGACGATGCAACAGATACAGTTCAGCACGTCACCTGACACCCTGCCGCGAGGCCTGAGCCTGAGGCCCCCGAGGTTTTACATCCACCAAATCATCAAGGCAGTTAAATAGCACAGTGCAGCTGTAGTCACAGATTGGAGTTTAACTGTACAAATATTCCTCTGAAGGCAGAGCCGCTCTGGAGGCAAAAATACACTCCAACTGCAGGAAGCAACGAGACTATCAGAGTGCGAGGCATCTAACCAGCGAAGCTCTACTACAAAGAAAGAAAATATCAACTATATAAGCTGCAATGTGCACAAGAATATAAGCGTAAAAGCCTGAGATCATCCTGCAGAGGCAGCAAAGTGTTGAAATGTGACAAGAAAAAATCTGAACTCCACCTATCAAGGCAGATGTCACTGAAAGTTTCAGAGTTATTTTACAGATAATAATATGCTATATATAGAAAATGGATCTGAAAGTGAGGCCAATATTGAAGCGGCTTAAACATGCATTCCTTCAACTAACCAGCAGGAGGCGACTCTCATTTGTATAGATGTCTATGGCTTCCTTGCGCTATAGTCTGAATAAAAGCTTTCCTGGGGAGTTCATAAGGTCAGTCACTACTTTCAAGTCATAACGAATACATGAAATTTATCAGTATGACTCATGGTCCTCATTAGAGTTAAAAATGAGGTTAAAATAGTTAGAACTACATCGTTAGCCAATGACAGTGTACCCGGTGTAGTGTAAAAGGTTTTGTGGTCACACTCATGATCTATGAGGTTATAAAACATGAATGTAGCTTCCAGAGTGGAAAAGAAGCCAGTGCAAAGTGCATTAAACCAGAATTCTATGTTAAGGCCACCAGATTGCAATACCTACGGCTGCAGGAAGATTTCTGCTCCCGTACTCGTCTATGGGATAAAGGATTTCTGATTTGACTTCTGTTAACACTTTTTCCTGATGAGTTTATTGGGTCAAACACTCTCCAAAGTGTAGCTTTTGCTCAGAATTGAGGACCATCTGTGGTATATTTGACTTCACTTGTCAAGTGACTGTGAAAACACTCATCTCGAGGCCTCAAAATCAGAGACGGTATATCAAGAACACTTTTGTAGGGGCCAATAAATAATCCTTGGAAACATTAAGGTGTGATGCTCGGTCCACATAAACTAAAAAACACACAAAACCACCAACAGATTAGGATTACAGTGTCGGTGACCTCTGCATAGTATAAGCCATGCAGTTCATGGCATGGAGTTGTGGTACCAAGCAGAAAATCCCTGATCCAGTGATGATTGTAAGGTAAGGTTTAATTATTAAGCGCTTTTCGTAGACAGGTAGTCACAAGGCGCTGTACACAAAGATTAAAATAAAGAAAACATTAAGTAATAAAATAGACAATATAAACAATGCAAAAGTATTGATTAAGTTTTTAACTGCTTTTTAAAGGTTTCCACAGAGTCAACCAAACGCAGTTGTGGTGGTTCCACAGCCTTGGTGATTGTGTACTCAAGACTTCCAGAAGAACAAAATAATTATCTTTAGTTTGAGGCAATACCCAACAGCGCTATGTCACATTGTGTTCTCCTAATATCCAGCTGATGTAGTTTACATTGAAATCTTGTTTGCGAAGAACTGAGACCTCGAAAAAGTTTATTTCAGGGCTAATATAAGCTGGTTAACAAATCTCTGCTGGTGAATAGCACACAGTCACATGTGTATAATTTTAATAACAAGCTGTGGCTGAGAATCCACTTTGAGGGAAAACGCTGCATCGCTTCCCACTGACATGGTTTCATGAAACAATGCCGGGAGCTGAGGGGCCATAAATCGCTCAGCGTGAGCACCGCCGCAGCTCACAGACGCTCCGGCTCTCCGATTGTTGCTTGTCCAGCTGATTGTTTACTCAGCATATTGATTTTCAGTTCATGGCTCACTCCTCTTTATACTATCAGACGTCCCAGACTGGAATTAATCTGCTCTTCACATTAGCACATGCTAATCGGGAGCTGCTTCTATGTCTGTGCGTGCCAAGACTCCCGCTGATGACTCGTCAGTGCGGCTGGTTGTTGGCTGTCCGGCCTGCTCACGGCGGCGAGGCCAAGCTGCTGTGGGTAGATTTGGGCTTACTGTGTGTTCGGGGGAATTTGAAAATCTTCAAAACTGTGCCTACAGATTACAGCAGTGTGCCTTGACATGCTGATGTCAGATTTAGGGATTTTTGTTATGCAGCACAGATATAAAGCTGCACAAGCTAATAAATAAAACAAACAGAAAAGATTCTAATGAATAAATGCACCACGAGTCCAAACGATGTTTGATTCCAGCAGAAAGCAGCATCATATCAGCAGAAAATAACCGTTAACAAATTCTGGTGCTGAGTTTATATGTTTGCAGAAAGTCTCAGAGCACGACGAGTGGTCAACAAAGACAATACTTAAAGTTTTTAAGTCTTTGCAGGTATGTTTTTATAAGAAATTTGCCACTTTCATCCAGCTTTACACTTCTTGACAGACCCATTTCTAGCAGCAGCAGTCACCAGTGCACTACACTATATGCTACAGAGCGGCATATTCACTAACCAAACAAGGTGAGTGACTAACACTTGAGCATAATTACAAGTAGCAGGTATTTGTCTCCATATGGAGTTTGTTCTTAGAAAGCTAAAGCTAGCTATGTGTTAGCAAGCTGCTATAGTTAGCTAGTGCACTCACAAAGAATAATGGTGCTTTCTGAATAATCGATCATATACTCTGTCACGATTTACAAGTTTAATACAGATCATTACCAAATGCTTTTACGCTCATTAGCATACCGAATGTCCCACTTCTTTCTTGTGTTAGCGTTTCATGTTTTATTGTCTGTCTCCACGTCTTGTCCTCATTTTTTTCATTTAGGTAGCTTACAAAGACTTTAGTAGTATAGCACCAACAGTCATGACAATGCTCTCTATATGTTAGAAGGTAAAGACCCTACAATAATACACAAAAAATCCAACAATCTGACGACCCTCTATGAGCAAGGGCTTGGCGAATGTGGGAAGGAAAAAATCCCTTTTAACAGCAAGAACCAGGCTCAGTGAAGGGCAGCTATCTGCCATGATCTGAGTGGCAAACTTAATTCTGAGTTTGGCACAAAAACTCAAACTACAAAAACTTATTAGTTACAGTTTTTGTAGCACCAACTATTATGTCACATGTCATCACTGCAAGTTACCAGATTTCACTCGGATTCCACACTCACCATATCCCTGCTAGTGTTCCGTGTAATCCACTTTAATAGTTTGTGGACGAATACACATTGTAATTACAGGTCTGCAGCTGGATAATAATGTTGATCAGTGTCTGCCTGATATGGAAAAAGGCAGCTTGCTAGCAACAATAATATGATGAACATACAATATATAAGCATATATGAGAGTGTAAACATTAGTAAGGCCCTGACCTTTATAAATCCAAACTGCACATAACTAATTAATCATATTAAAAGCTGCTTAATTGGGCAACAACATTCCAGTCAGCACTTGCTTTGTGGCCCCTCAAGTATCCACACACTATATGTGCTGAGTGAATTTAATAGTGTAGGAACTGAGTGGGATACTTACAGTTGCGTGCAGCCGTCCTCTTTTATTCATGGCCAGGAATCTGTTACTGTAGACCCCTTTGATACCGATGACCCCCTGAGAAACCGCAAAGAGCTCCAGGACACCTAAGAGGACAAACAACATGATCTGATGATTGACTGGTGACAGGATGTATTTTTACTCGTCTTGTGATTTTCTGTCTCTTGCTGCTCGTCCTCACTCCGAATAACAGACTTTGACATGATCTACTCTGCTGTCATGTCAGCGCTGTTATCCTGTTCAGCTGCACCGTTGAGACTTATCTCTTAGTGGGCTCTTTAGTAGGCTTCTTTAGATCGCTAGTGTTTGCATGAATAGAAAAAAGGGAACACGGAGCAGTAGTTCTATCTTTAATTATTCCAAATCTCTATGACGAAAGATTTTTATGGGCTGTTTTGGAGGAATCAGTTGTTATGAGTAAGGACCAAACTGAGGGATACTGGTGTATAAAATATTTGGGGGCCACAGAAGAACACCTCCTGAGGCACAAACCTATCGCCACCATCGCCTCCTTCAGTGTTCATGGCGTGTTTAATGGCTGAACACTGAAGGACCAAATACCAAAGTTGCTTCATACAAAAATAATAAGCAAAACCATTTTATTATTAATGAAAACATTTTATGCAAAAAGGTAAAAGTGTACCGTTAAAGTGTTGCTATGGAGATGTGCAAAGTGTTTGTTATTTACATCAAATATACCATATGAAATGTTCTGAACAAATGCACGTGCCTAACTGGACATGCCACTGAACTGGACCACGTTTGGAGGATTGTCAGTGATTTGTAGTGCAGCTAGCTGACTACATAAACAGACCATCCACAAAGTTATTCCTTTAGTTATGATTAGTAAATTAGTTTATCTTGCTAACAAAGCTTGATATTCTCCAAAAAGTTGATTCTGTCCATCTGGACGTAGCGTTTTGTGGGAGAAACGTTTCGTCACTCATCCAAGTTACTTAATCTCAGTGGTCATTGATCAGTGGTTGTTGATCAGTGGTCATGATACTTTGCATAATTAAGATTAAGTTGCTGACCTCCCAGCCCACTGTTCCCTCAGTGGGCTGGTTTCAGTCATTATGCAAATGTACTGTTTATAAGATTTGGGGAAACCTGCAGTCAGCTGAGACTGAAGAAGTCACCTGGATGAGTGACGAAACGTTTCTCCCACAAAACGCTACGTCCAGATGAACAGAATCAACTTTTGGAGATTTACTTTCCTGGGTGATTAAGCATGCATCAAAAAGCTTGATATTGTTGATCCTATAATACCCTGGGTATCATATTTGATAAATAAGTTTCTGAGACATGATCAGACATGATCAGTGCTCACCATAATTGCAAAATGTTATGGACAAAATTCTTTTTTTTGTCTAAAATTAACATTGTTGTTAACAAAAAGTTGCCAAAAACACTCAATTGATACAAATGTGATACAAAACATATATAATAAAAATATAATAAAAATATATCATACACAGCATGATATAGCGAAAAAAGTGGATTTTGTTATAAGGGTTGATAAACATCTCAGTTCCAAAAAAATCAGAATTTTCTGGCTATTTTTTGATGGACTGGGTCTTACAGGGTTAAGTGATAGCATGTTGAACTAAACCTCACCTGCGCTGATGGCTTCTGTGAGTATTTGAGCCATGAATAAACTTGGATAAATACACTTTTTTTCAATTAGAGAAACAACACACAGGCTCAGAGACTACTGCAGGGGAGAGTAATGACTGAATGCCATACGAAAAGTATAGAGAAAACCTAAGCTTAATATGAACTCTTTCCCATGTTGCTTGTCTGTGTTTATTGTGCTGTGGTGTGTTGATATCTGTGCATTCCTGTATTATCCTTCTGTGTTACACATTTTGATGTTTTTTTCCTCGCTACCTAGCCTGACCTGTCTCCCCAATGTGATGTTTGTGTATTGTATGTACGGTCGGCAAGGTCTGTCATCTCGGTTGTGGGCAAAAGACCTGCAACTGACAAATAAAGGCTATCTCTATCTCTCTCTATTTATGAGGGAAATATAAACAGCACTACTGTGTGAATGCTACTGTGCTGATCTTTATGTCACTAAAATTTCAATCAGATTCTTTTTATGATAAAAAAAAAAAAAACTTTGAGAAAACTGTAAATTGTGGGGTGTGGGGCATAAATCCTTTTCTGCTTCTGAAGCGATCAATGCCAGAAGAAGTCCCTGAACCACTGCATTAAACAAAAGATTAAATATAATGAACTGTGAAACTAACTCCCCAAAAATGCACACACACTGTTGGACCCACACAGAAATAAATCAATAAATAAAGAACCGCTGTCCTGAAGCAGAAAGGTCTCGCATCCAAACTCGAATGTGAGCATTTGAGTTAAATCTAAGAGTTGAATCTGATGCTGCGTGATGGTAAAAGAATCTTCATATTACAAATCCAAGACGCCCAGTCTCCTGCTAGTCTGCTGTCCTGTCATTCAGGCTTCAAAACCACATGGCTGAAATCCATGTAACCTGACAACTCTTCTAAAGGGGACCATGAAATGGAGGCACAAGTGCACTTTCACGGTGAGCTTTTGCTGTTTCGTCAACGGATGAGCGATGAAGGATCTGATGGTGCAGTAAAAGCTGAAAATCTGATTTATGGCTTTAGTTTTGTGGCCTAGCTGACACAAGTGCCAGGCATGCTCTAAAAGTCAGATTATTTAGTGAAACTGTGATGTTAGTCATCTCCCTTTAGAGGTGTAAATGAATTTGAAACAGGAGGAAATGGTTGCACCTCAGACATTTCAAGTCATAATTCAATTTTCCAAAAAATTTTTTTTTTAGTTCGTCCCTTCAGAAACACACAGGCAGCTGTAAGATTCATACCCAACCTATACATTTAACTATATTACTCTGTGATTCCTGAATTCTGTTATGCATTTATCAGCAACAACAAATATCAACTCGTTTGTTTGATCTTTGTCATTTATGATCATTAATATTTCAGAATTTCAGCTCTAAACAATCCAGCGTGCAGGATGACGCTTAAGTCGAATATCTGCACTGCAAACATCAGCGTTTGTTTGTGGTTCCAAAATCTCATTTCTCTTAAATCATCTGAAAATCAATTTCACTTTAATACTTTATTTGCGCGCAAGTCTGCAGCTCAAATCATTAACTTTGCAGGTACAACAAACAATAAACGTTTTAAAGGAAATCTGTTTTTTTTGTGCATATTGTCGCGTTGTTGCGATTATGTCAGTCGTGCTGAGTCGCAGTCCATTACATCCTGTTGCACCTGTTACTTCTACAAATAGTCTACCTGCCAACATCCCCGGAGAGACACAAACAAGGCTCGTCAAACAGATGCCTGCTCAGATATTTCACAGGCTCGGACAGCCTAAGTTTAGCAGCGCGCTCCTTACCGTCTTTATGTGTAAATCATTGTTCAAACTTGCAGGGATGGCAGTCAAAATAGACATCGCTGCAGACAGAACGGGGATCAATTGGAACAAACACAGGATCCAAGTGCGCATTCTCAGCGGGACGCACCGGATTCATCCACGCCTCAGACCTTCATAAATTAGTAGTTAGGCTGCTTCGTGCACAGTGAGGCCGGACTGAATGACTTACTCAGCTGGTTGGGCTCATGGCTGCCGTTGACTCTACCGTCGGGATGAATCTGGAGATGGAAGCCGATGCCAACCCTACAGTAGAGTCTGCAAGTCCTGCGTCCCGAACGGATCCCCTCCTCCAGAAGTTGGCGCTCCAAAGAGACGTGCTGAGCTCCCGCAGCGGTGCAAATCAAGTGAGCGAAGGTCAGAAGGTAAAGAGGAACATTCATTCTTTCAAAAAGGAGACACCCGGGAGGCCACTTCTAGCATTTTGGTCTCGCTCCTGAGATCTGAGCACCAGAAACCGTGCGCACGCACTGCATGCAGCGCTCCTAGGCATTACCCCGGCTGCAGTAGCTGGAGTGGTTCTGCTGGCACGGGGATATTTATATCGCCAATGATCTCACTTCTCGATGCATGCCTGAGCTCTAAAGGACGCTCTTTCATCCAGATTTTGTCGCCGAGATGCCACTCCTGCTCAGCACCGACCCACAGCAGCGGGGCGTGAAGGAAACGCGACAGACACCGCACATTTTCCAAGCAATCGTCCGCGCCAGGACGCACTAAGCGCGGCATTTTACGCACAGGGAAACGACATGTTAATAGAGCGTGGACGCGATTAATTCGCACTTGAAGCCACGAGGACAAAATATTTCGCTGTGGACGCTTCTTTCCGTAAAAGAAACACCGGACGGCAACAATGAAACACCGCTCGCAGGAGTGAATTCAGAGAGGTTCGGGCTGAGATCCTCAGGTGGTACAGCAGGGTTTTAACACTGGCTCACCGGACACTCAGGCAGCCGTATTTATAGGCCTCAGTCCACCTTTTCATCTGATGCGTCCACACATTTGGTGAACAAGCGTCAAGCTGACTAATGTATTCTGAGCAGTGTACAGTGGCGGGAGAGACAATGCAATTATCTGTTTGTGGTGTGGATTAATGCAACAAATAAATAAATAATATAAGGAAGATATATGAGTAACATATTCATGTATAACATTTCTCCCTCCCTTCCACCCAAGTTTGACTTTTGCTACTTCAAAAGTCATATCCCCTTGAACCTATTGAACGACCCCGTTAGGCTGTTTTTGCAGTAGATGTCACCAGGAAAAGTGCCCAAACACTGAAAGCCCCAAATAAAAACATGCCCTATAACCAGTAACACAAAGATGCAAGATTACGTGATTCTGTACAGAACTGCATATTTATTTTTGTCAGGCTTCATCTTACTGGTTCAAGGTCAGTGAAAAAGTTTGTTAGAAGATCACAGCTCCTGTGGACCTGAAATGACACAAGTGAACAGCTTCTGCAGAGATCACTGCCTTTTGCTTGATTTCCAGTCAGTGCCTGTTCTCACTGCTTACTACACTAGCTGTCATTCTGAGGATAAACATGATGTCAAGCCTTAATCTGTAAACAATTAAATGTCTTTTTATGTTTTTCTTACTTATAAAATAGGCATTTTGACCCATCACAGAAAGAAAAGCATGGGTAAATCATAAAAGGATCAATCTGGATGCATCAGCTTCAAAGTCTTCTTACTTTCTGGCTTTTTGTCAAGGGAACCTCCTTAATTTAACTGATAACAGCTATGCTTTTCTTACTATGTGTGTCTATGAAAATAAAATAACGATAGGTGAGTGTAAAAATGTCTTAGATATAGTAATCTGTCATCTTGAAATTGATGCTTACCACAGTCTGAATGTTTGTCCTGTGACAGACGAATCTTCCTTTTTCTGGTTTTCTGATTTGTTACATGTACATGACAAATAAAAACTTGACCAAAACACATCAGCCATCCCATTTAGTTTAACCTGGCAGGATTCAGTAGTTGTCCAGCAGAACTGCAAAAGTCAAATGTGTTTATTTCTTTATTTATGGTGTGAAATTCCCTTTTTGAGATCTGACACAGTTTTCTTGCTAAGCTGCAGCAAAGGGATAATAAGGCCCCGTGTATGGCTCAAACAAATGTGCTTGTTGGATTATGTACTCTCTCTAGTATACAGGTTTCTTTGTTAAGTCTCCTGACAGTGGCGTGTCCAACGGGGTGGCTGGGGGGGGGGGGGGGGGGGGGGGGGCTGTCAGGCCCACTTTTCAATACAACCACTGCTCTAGATCTAATGATCATTAGGTTTAATCATGATTATCATGCCAAACTGTATATTTTGTGATATAAAACTATAGTGGCTGATAGTTGTTTGATAGGCTCTTGCTTTCTTCTATATAGCTAAGATTTTTTGATTTTTTTGACTGTTACAGCATCTGGGTACTTGTAGGTTCTCATGCACTCAACAGCACTGGAAGTATGCAAGTATTTAAACTTCCCCTCAAACTTCTTTTCATCTTTCACAAACTCATTTTTCCTCTATGAAAGCATCCCTTCCTTTCTTGCTCCAGTAGCAGTAGTAGTGTTTTATGATCAACTGGCAATTAGATCCTAGTAGATTTTGTTTTAAACTCTCATGAAAGGACACCTAAAAAAGACACAGACATGTGCATTATTATAAATACATTAAATTGTACATTTTCTGGCACACGGTATGATCTACCTGTTCCTTACCTGCACCATTTCAATTCAAATTACATTTGTCAGCCAGCTCAAAGTGCCAAAATGTAGAACAGTTTAAAATTGTCCATCTGAACCTGTGCTCTCTGACTCTTGGTCACCCTAGCACGTGTTTTGTATTAAGCTTATTAATTTTCTATCTTCACACACATTCGTCGTAATCTCATCCCTCATTGTTTTCAGGGGCCCAGCTATGTCTGAATTTGATTAGCTTGCGCCCGGCTGTGGATTACAGGCTGTATAGAGTTCTAATTGTCTCTGGCACACAGAGCCAAGGCCGGGCCAACATTACGTTTTATGTAAACAGCAGGGCAGTGTTTAGTCCCACTGTTCTAATGGGCAGCCATTCTTGTGAGGCCATTCCAGTAACAGTGAGGTAATCCCCCTGAGTCGTATAAACATGGATGATCCTGATTGATTCTCCCGCCCGATTGATCCCAGCTTTTAGCAGCTTTTAAGTCTAAGCAAACAGCAGACAGCAGGTTCTGCTACACCCCTGAGCCGTCTGAGCCCACTGACGGTGATCAATGTGAGGGTGTGTTTGGGAGCATCCGACCAGCTACGGTCGCAGTCGTCAACTTAATGGCAATGGTCCTCTGATGTTGTGTGGTGCTCAAACGGTCTGCATCAGTGTGAGGAGGAAAGACAGTTTTATTATGTTAATGCTCACAGAAAACAAAAAGTTTTATAAAATCATTCTCAAGCTTTAGCATTGGAGCTCTAGATCAAAGAGCAAAGAGCAACAATGTCTACATTCCATCATGGAAACAGGAAGGTCCTGCTTGTGTGAATAGTGGTTCACTGTGATGGCTCACTAGTAGAGCCAGACAGACATGAGATTTTAAGGACGTGTAAGTGTTTTGTTTTTGTCACAAAGAGCTTGTAAATTACTCATTTACACACTTTCTAGTATTGCTCGGATCAGCTGGTCATCGTGTTGCCATGTGGGAAATTGCACAGCGCCCTCTGGTGGACAAATTACAGCAACCCCAACACTCATAACAAGGTAAGAGTGCTTCTCCTGTCTCTTTGATCCTGTCTCATTAATTTTTAAAAATTTAATCAGCCGTCATAAATCCCAGTAGTAGTAGTAGTAGTAATAATAATAATAGGTGCTTTTAAAGACCCTCAAGCTCACCTTACATTAGTACAGCAAAATAAAAACAAATAAATAAATAAATAAAATCACAACTATAAAACCAACCAACGTAACAATAGAGTAAGACAAGTAATAATGAAGGGTATGCTGTTGTGAACAGATGGGTTTTTAAAGACAAAATTTAAAGTAGAAAGAGAGTTCGTGGTCCGGAGATCTGGTGGAAATCCTTCCAAAGTCTTGGGCCAGAACAACTAAAGACTCTTAGTCCCATAATAGTCAGGTGAGCAGATGGAACAGACAAAAGAGACGCTGAAGAGGAGCAGAGTGTACGAGAGGGTAAGTATGTATGGAGAAGATCAGATGAATACGGATAACATGGAGTTGTTTAACCACAGGTCTTCTGGTTCTAGATGTAATACGAGCAGCTGAATTCTGAAGTAACAGCAGTTTATGGAGAGATTTATGAGGAAGACTTTACAGAAAATAATTATAATAACATCAACGACATGTGACAAGAGCATTGACAAGTATGGCGGTACTGTTTGGAGTAATTGAAGGATGAAGGCGACTAATATTGCGAAGATGAAAATAAGCAGAGTGATAGTGGTGAAGGAGAGAGTACTGTCGAGGATGGCACCAAACTATTAACCTGAGGGGAAGGTGTGACAACAGAGTTAATAATAAATAATGAAAAACGTTTGGCTGTTTTATGAAAGTTATGAGTAAAACAAACTTTGATTTTACTTAAACAATCAGAAATGGATGTTAATGGGAGAGTAGCTGTGGGTTCGGAAGAGAAATAGAGCTGGGTGTCATCCACGTAATGGTGAAATTGAATGTTATATTTCCTGAATATATTACCTAGAAGTAGGAGATAAATAATGAAAAAGCAAAGGCCCCAGGACAGAGCCTTGGGGTACACCGGAGTTAACTGAAGTAGGTTGTGATCTGTGGATATATAATTGAAGATACTGTAAATGGCCAGAGAGGGACATCAGTAGATTAACTATTGATGTGGCAATCATATCAAGTAGCTAATATTAGCTATTATATATGTACCTACTGATATATCTGTGAGACTCTGCTTATTCTACTTACCTACTTAAGTAGGTGACTCAATGGCAGACCTACTGTGGCAAGTCAAAATATCTGCAATGCAAACTCAATATTTAAGGTCATAAGATTCATATAAATTTGAACTTTCAGACTGTTCTATTACGTAGGCTTCTTACTGTTGGGTGATAGCACTGACTGAACGTTGGTTGGCTTCTCATGGTATAAATGTATGTGTTACATAAGGTTCAAGGCAGTTTGCAACAAGGAAAGTACAGGTATGGTCTCACATTGACATTATGTCCTATGGATGATGCTGGCACCATACAGATGTGCTTAGATTGAGGAAGTGTGACAGCAGTCGTACTACAGTATTATTATGAGTACAACTCTGGGTTTGAAAAGATGTATGGGATGCCCAGAGGGGATGCATGTAGCTCCATCAGGTGTTGTTGAACTGTTATCAAAAAATGGAAACCCAGTTTAACAGCATTCCCAGTGGGCGTGGACATGGACACATAGGGTTTTGGAAGAATCACAATATCAACAAAGTTGCAACAGACTAAATTTTTAATAAGGAAAAAGTCAATTTTATTGGATGGCAAAATGAATATGTGCCAATTAGGGGTGCAACGATATCCGTATCGATATTGAACCGTTCGAGTGCTTTCGGTTCGGTAGGCATATGTAGCGAACAATACAAAATTTTTAATTTATTTTATCAACTTTTCTTCTGATGATGCTGTCTGTGTTGAGCGCTCAGTGGATCTGCGTTCAACTACTCCGCCTAGGCTGCACTGTCGAGGCAGATCCACTGAGAGCAGCGCAAGCTAGCAAGACAGAAGCTAAGCTTGTTGCAAGATGGCAAATTGAACCTCCCCCACCCTCATTCAGATCTGGCATTTGGAACTATTTTGGTTTTCATGTGACGTATGACCCTGAAGGTAAGCGCGTCATGGACTAAAGTAAAACAGTATGTCGGATGTGCCACGCAATGCTCAATTGGTGGGAACTAGTCCGTTAGCGCAGTTAGCTCGTTAAC